CGCTCCAGGACGCCCCGCAGGAAGCCAAATCGCCAAATCGCCTAACCAGCGGCCCCGCTACCGCCAGTCGCCGCCGCCCGATTACCCCCCCCCGTTGCACTGCAACCGCACTGCATTGCAATTTTGCATTATTTCGCATTGAATTGCAACCACATTGCCGTTGAATTGCAATCGCAGTGCGTTGCATTGTATTGCATTGAACTGTACCGGGCTGCATCGCGCTGCATTGGGTTGCATTGCTTTGCATTGAGGCGCGTCGAGTTGCATGAATTTGCATCGCACTGCGTTGATATCAAATGCGTCGCGTTGCATTGTGTTGCATTGCTCTGCATTGCTTTGCATTGGTTTTTGAATTGCACGGCGTTTCATTACTACGCATTCATGGGCATTCCGCTGCACTGCGTTATACTGGTGCTGCCGTGGCTCGCATTGCGTTGCATTTCCTTGCGCGACGTTGCATTACGTCGCTTTGCAGGGCATTGCATTGGATTGGTTTACATTGGCGCGCATTGGTTTGGATTCCGATGCATAGTGTTGCAACATCTTGAGTTGCGTTCCACTGGTGTGCGCTACATAGATTGCCCCACATGAATCACACCATCGAGATTTGTTTACTTCGACTGAACCACATATAATGCAACGTGCATACATGCATATCTGATCCAACGTGGACCGGAACCAGCGCGGTTATAGCAAAATGGATTGTGCGACTGACGCGGAGCAATATACGGGGCACAATCAAATATACTACAATCAACTACTGCAACGGCCGCGCTAGCGTGCGCAGGCTTGCGCGCAGAGCGGCCAGCCCGCCTAGCGCGACCGACGCGGCCGACGTGACACGGACCGTTGGGCACGTCCCAGCGTATCTCGCAAGCCTCGCTGACACGCGGGCACGTCAGCGCGAGTCCGTTACTCGGGTGCGGTAGCATGGCGACGTTGACAACGGCAGACACGGTGAAGATAGTAGCGATGCTGGTGACGTTGGACATGATGACGACGGCAAGGCCAATGAAGGCGCCGATGCTGATCACGCCGGTGACGATGGTGGTGCCCACGAGTCCGCGATGAACGTGTTGAAGGATTTCGACTTGCGCACGCGGCCCGCGTGCGCGAGTGGCCCGTATGGTATTACTTGACATGGATCGCGCCCGCCCCCCCTCCTCAGCATGCGTGCAAGGGCGTCCGGATGATTCCGACACGCGCGCGCCAGAGGCCCGTTTGGTCGCATGCAAACCATGTGTAATTTATTTGTGTCAGGGACACTCGTTTTAGAAATCCGCCGGCCCCCTTGTGGGGCCACCAGGCTGTAGGAGCGAGGTTCGCAGTTTCCTGTACCAGTTGTAGCTTGTAGTTTCCAGTGTTACAGCTCTGCTTCTTGCTGGTTACTGTAACTAGTTGACTTATTGCTGGTTACTGTAACTAGTTGATTGACCGCGCGAGGGGGAGGGAGGCCAAACCAAATTTTTAGCACCCCCTGGGCGCGTTGTCTGAATTGCTGGGGGGGCTCGAAATCGACACCCCTCACGCAGATCCGCGGGGTCAGGGTCCAAAAACACAAGGGATTTGCCACATTTCTGAAATTCGGTGCCACCCCTCACGCAGATCCGCGGGGTCAGGGTCCAAAAACACAAGGGATTTGCCACATTTCTGAAATTCGGTGCCACCCCTCACGCAGATCCGCGGGGTCAGGGTCCAAAAACACAGGGATTTGCCACATTTCTGAAATTCGGTGCCACCCCTCACGCAGATCCGCGGGGTCAGGGTCCAAAAACACAAGGGATTTGCCACATTTCTGAAATTCGGTGCCACCCCTCACGCAGATCCGCGGGGTCAGGGTCCAAAAACACAGGGGATTTGCCACATTTCTGAAATTCGGTGCCACCCCTCACGCAGATCCGCGGGGTCAGGGTCCAAAAACACAGGGGATTTGCCACATTTCTGAAATTCGGTGCCACCCCTCACGCAGATCCGCGGGGTCAGGGTCCAAAAACACAGGGATTTGCCACATTTCTGAAATTCGGCGCCACCCCTTACGCAGATCCGCGGGGTCAGGGTCCAAAAACACAAGGGATTTGCCACATTTCTGAAATTCGGTGCCACCCTTCACGCACATCCATCGCAAGGCGTGGCAACCCAAACTGCGAGAACTCCCTCGGCCCTTTAATCGCAAGGTGTGGTAACCAAGCCCGTAAACCATACACGTCTTACCAATCGCCAGGTGTGGTAACCCCTCTTGTGATCAGTTGGTTTTGCTGATTGCGAATCGGCTTCGCATGAAGTTTCGATACTGCTTCACGACAGCGCCAAGGCCTCATGACTTAGCTCTTCCATGGCCCATTCTCCGAGAGAAGGAGCCGGCGGCAGGGGGCGAAGCCCTTACGGATTATTACGAAACCAGGAACGTGTTTGAAAGATTCTGGCATGCGCGCGCGACGACGCGCGCGTGCACGTCGCCTCAGCTTTTGCAAAGGACTCTTGAACACGAGGGGTTTGTTATACACGAGTGCGCGGGAATAGTATCATTTGGAAAGAATGAAGGGACCAAGTTTGACTGGGATGATCTGGCTTTATACTCCGAGTGGACGGTGAGGCAAACTCATGTGCATATTGCACATCACCAAGGAGGACTCATATTGCCAGAGGGAGACACAGTTTCCTCTCTAGACAGGAGACCAACTGCGGTACCATCAATGTGGCGAAATCCACGTGGTGCGGACTATGTTCTGCAACACCTGTTGCGCACGATATGCCTTGCGATCTATGTGAACTGCCCAATACACATATATACATAAACATATATATATATATATATATATACATATATATATGTGTATGTACACGGTGCAACCTGTACGGTGCAAACCACCCTGCCGAACATGAAACCGTCAACTCCACTGACCGCGCACCCATCCCACCCACCCAACCGCAACTCGAGTTGCAAAATCCATGCGCCTGTGGGCTGCTAGGATCGCTTGGCGTTGGTTGGCGCATCGCTGCGGCCGCACTGGCGCGCGCAAGGTCGCATGGAAAACGGCCGCGAAACCGACGCGGCCGCGGTGGCGATGACCGATAGGCACTTTCCAGCGCGTCGCACAGGCCAAACTGACGCGCGAGCACGTCAACGAGAGTCAGTGACCCGGGCGGGCGCGGTGTCATGGCGACGTCGACAACGGCAGACGCGAGGATAATAGTAGTAGCAGTCCTGATCACGACGGTGACGATGACGACGGCAAGGTCAATGGCGGCGCTGATGCTGATCACGCCGATGACCATGATGGTGTCCACGCGTCGGTGATCAAGATTTTGGAAAGATTTCAACATGCGCGCGCGGCCGACGCGCGCGAATGGCCCGCACTGGATCATGTGACATGGGTCGTGCCCCAGCCCCCCAGCCCCCGAGCACGCGCGCAAGGGTGAAATGATTTCGACATGCGCATGCGAGAGGCCCGTTTGGTCGCAATTGGTGAACGTTTTGAAGAACCGATGGTTTTTCATAAGAAGTCCCAACAGCGCGCGCGAAGATCTGTCACGACAAATCATGTTACGAAACCATGCGTTGGATTAGGTTGTCGGAACAGCCGATTTGGAATCCGTACGCAGCTTTGAAGAATGTCGGCATGCGCACGCGAGTGTGCACTTCGTCTTCTTGTTCAGGGGCTCTTGAAAACTGATGATGCTTGATATCCGAAGGCGCGCGCATAGTTTCATGTGACGAGGATGGCGAAGGGGTCGACCCCGCATAGGGTGGGATGGTGTGAACTCATACTTAGAGTGAGCGATGAGGCAGAATCAGATGTATAAACTGCACATCCCCAGGGCGTGCCGATCAGTCCAGCGGGGGGGAGGGTAGGAGATCCAAATTCCTTGGTAAGGAGGGTATGCACGGTGCAATAGATGCGAGGCGGCGGCGGCACCAACGTGGCCGCCAGAACGACGGTCAGTCCCAGACGACGGGGGGCGACGAGGCGGCGGCGGAGTGACGACGGGGACAACACAGCCGCCAGACCGACGGTCACGCCCAGACGACGCGCGGCGACAAGGCGGCGACGGGGCGGCGACGGCGACAACATAGCTGCCAGGCTGACGGTCAGGTTCAGGTTCAGTTCCCGTAGACAACGAAACAAGGGCCCTAGCTGCAAGCACTGTTGGGGTAGCATACACTCACATACATACATGTGTGCATGCATATTCTGTCACCTTCGGCTTTCGCGGGGCTTACCCCCACCTGGGCGGGGGGACCCGGTCGGGCTGAGACACCATGGCCCAGTGGGGATGGGGATCGGTTGGGCGATGCTGAACCTTGCAGCGCCCGTGGCTCGCCGAGGCCCACGGCGGGTGGTCGATGGCCCCGAGCAGGACAGTCTGCACAGACATCAGCTGTCGGAGCTCCGCGCGGCTTTCCTGCGTCGGCGTCGGGGCCTCCCCGGCAGCGCCTCGGGCGCCGCTCCCAGCGCGCTGGAGGCGCGCACTGGGCCAGGGGGGGGGCCCGCGCCGGGCCGAGCTGTCCGCGGGGACCCCTTCCGACAGCTCATGCCGATGCCGACTTGCCCTCCTCGGATCACCTGCACTGGCAGCCTCGAGATCAGGCGCGTCTCTGGGAATCTCCGGTGGCAACTCATGGGAGCCTCCCATGCCCCAGACCATCTGGTCGGCTCTTGCGAGTCGACGCGGATCCAAAGCTGGCCGGCGCCGATCGACGCTGGATGGACGCTCATCGACGCTGGCCGACGCGAAATCGGCGCTATCGCATCGACTCCCAGACGCTAATCGACGCCAGTCGATAGGGAGCCCACAAAGGACGTACGCGCCCAGCTATGTACATGAACACGGCCCCTCGATTCGCGAGACCGGCCGCGTGATACGAACATTTGTGCAATGCGTGCTCTCGAAACCAGCGTGGATTCATGTACATGTACGTCCTTCTTTCGCTCCTAAGTCGAGGGTGTGCCAGGCTCCCATGCTCTGCGACCGAAGGAATTGGTGAGGATCCATGCCCATCACCGCCGCCGCTGCTCGGGGGGCCGTCAGGGGGGGGCGGGGCGGGGGGCAGGACCGTGCAGAGGGGGCCCTGGAGGCAAATCGCTCGGGAGGGCCCCCAGCAAACACACACACACACACAGACACACACACACACACACAACACACACACATACACCCTGCGAAATGCTTAAGAAATCATGGGTTAAGAAATTCATAGTCTCAGAACTTGAATAAAAACCCAACATTTCTATTAAAATCTTGGGATTTACGTTGAAACATTAAGAATAATCGAGACCCTGGCCGAAAACGTAGGTTTTCTTAAGCATCGCCTAAGGTGTACACACACAGACACACACACAGACACACAGACACCCACACACAGATAAACGTGGAGCGGGGATCGCTCCCCGACCCAGGATCGGTCAGCATCGACTTGGGAAACTGGATCCTATGGGAAGGCGCGTCGGATCGGGCCGCATCGGCACAGCGTCGGCATCGAAGCGCATCGACCGCTCCAGCATGCACAACGGCGCCCTGCAAACTTTGGGGGCCGCATCGGCTCGTCGGAACATCGGACCTGGATCTGATCGAGCCAGCTGGGATCGGAATCGAATCGGACCCGTCGGATCGAAAGGGTTCCTGCAAACCCACAGTGGGCAAACACCCCCTCCCCAGACAGCCGACGATATGATTGTTTCGATGCACGGGCCCAGAGGACCAGGCCCCTTCCAGGGGGCCAGCGTTCACCCCAAATCCAGGCTTGGTCCCGGAGGGCTGGACCTAAACGTTGTGTGTCGTGGTGTTGTCATTTCGTGCTTCGTTTTACTCCACCTGTTTCCCTGTACCTCCCACCAAAAAGAAAAACAACACACTCGCCATCGCTCGGAAGTCCATTCCCCGTGCATGTTTCGATTTCGCGCGTGCATGTTCTGCTGAATGATCAAAGATGCTCATCGATGGTCCTCGCCGAGAAACAAGAAAAAGCACACGTCCGAGCGACGCCAAGCACACAGCAGCCCAGCAAAACAGCGCTCAGGTCCAGCCCCGGGGCTCAGTGGCGGGCCCCAGCGGCCTAAAACATCGAGGCAAAGCGCCCGGACTGAACCGCAACAGATCGTCGGAGGCACCTGGGCCTGCGGCCCCCCGATCTACGAGGCGCCGCGCCAGGGGGAAGGACGAGGCCGGCGCGGTCGGCCGGGAGCTGCTGCCGATCCAGTTGACCAGGAACGTGACGCGGCGCTCCTGTGAAAGGGGCCCACAAAGACACGAATAAATACACACACAAATAACAGGATTCCCCATATATAGATTTGCCCATATGTTCTAGGTTTTTGTCTCCCCTCCCACGTCCCATATTTCCCCACAGCTTCCTGGGAATCGACGATTCATTGCGTCTGCGCGTGTTCTTCCCGCCGCATCCTGGGAGGTGGAGGTGCCGCGCCCCGCCAGCTCCTCGCAACAGGCGCGGGGGTCGAGCACGCCGTGCAGCAGCGCGCCGTCAAAGAGGAAGTAGCGGCGGCGCCGAGGGAGGAGCAGCCAGGCCTCGCGCCGGCAGAAGAGGCAAAGACGACACAGGCAGAAACTGTTGGCGCTCCGCGCGGATCTCCGGGCTCTGCGCTGGACCCCCCTCCTGGGCGCCCAGAGCGCGCAAGGGGGCGGCGCCGGAGGCGCCGCTGGGGGGCCCCAGCGCGGATTCGAGAGATCCGCGCGGGGAGCAGATTGCTTATGCTTATGGCGTTGTTTCGTCTTCGAGCAAAGACGCGGGCGAGATGGACCGAAGCTTGTCGTCGATCTGCTCCAGTGGGTCCGAGTCGCTCGTGGCAGGGAGGATGCGGTTGCTTGTTGCGATTGTGGGCGTGCCATGGTCGCCGAGGAAGAGGACCGAGGCCGCCAGAGGCATGACCAGGCGACCCTGCTGCTTGAGCACCCAGACGAGGTGGTCCCAGTGCGGCTGCGGTGGCGTCTGGACAAAGTTATCTTGTACCCAAAACTCTGCTGTCTCCGTACCCGCCGGAGCGAACGCCTTCAGGGCTGTGAGAAGTTGCAAGATAGGGTTCCCACCCTCTCGCTCTGCATCAGCAGCGAGGCTGGCCACGGGCAGGAACAAGGAGAAGGACCCACTCGCAAACTCAACCTCCTCACCAGCGGCGAGGCGTTCCGTGCTGTTCCTGGCGAGCTTCCCAAGCCTCTGGAGCGTATTCACCAATCCTGGCCACTCCAGGACTGGCCCACGTAAATCCCAGGCGGCGGCGGCGACGCCAACGCCTGCTGCCATCGGAATGCTTTGGGCGATGGCGACAATCATGCAACCATACCTGGCAGAACGATTCGCATTGATCATGGGCTTTCTATACTTCTCAACGGGTTTGCGGCGCTCGGGCCATATCTCGATCGCCTCACTACTCCGAAGCAGGTCGAATAAGATGCTGAAAAGCGCTCGCTTCAGCCAGATAGATACACCGAGCCAGTGCAGGTTGAGCTCAGATGGGCATGGAGAGGAGGATCCCGATAAGGATGCTGATGCCAATGAAGATCTTCATAATTAGCACACCGACATGAGAGAGCTTCAGACAACGATTGCGAATGCCATGGCTTGCGCCTATGCGTGCGACCACCGTCACGATTTGGCGACTGTAATTGTTGAACAACTGACTCTGATCCAGCCCCCACCACCGTGCCGCGAGGCACTGAATGGAGTGCACCTTCACGATGGAGAGCTGCAAAGGTCCCTTCCTAAAGCCCAAACCCCCAACACGCGGTGGGCACTTGTTGGCGCTCTTGGCGCTCCTCGCACGACTTGACCAGGAGGCCTCGGGAGAGCGGCTGGGAATCTGGGCCGCCAACATGCTCGAAGATGGTCCCTCGGGAGCGACGATAGGGGCGAATAGCCGAGGGGCGGGCGGAACACGTATTCGCCCGGGAGCCGGTTCGAAGACATAGATCATCGGCGCCCCTGCATACGTGTGTTGCTCCCCCCTTGGCTATTCGCCCCGATCGTCGCCTCTGAGTCCCATGGGCCGCCCTCGAGTCATCCTGAGGGCCCCGTGGCTGGCGCGGAGGCCCTGGGGTTGGGCGCAAGAGGCCCGAGTCATCGGAACGCCGTGGGTTGACGTGTATGGTTTTCGCCTGACGGCCCAAGAGGCCCCAAGGAGCCGCCCGATTGGGCCCCCGGAGCGCCCTCAAGGGGCCCAAGGGGACCCCAAGAGGGCCACAAGACCGCCCGAGAGAGGGAAACTCGACGAGACCCCAGGGGTCCTCAGAGAAGACGGCCTCCGAGACCGCTCGCAGGCCGAAGATGCCGCCAAGAGCCCTGCTCCGAGAGGCTCCGAAGACGCTCCCAGAAGACCCCCGCGACTTTTCACGGACACCCAAAAAGAGACCCCCAAGAAACCCAAAGAGGCATCCAGAAGCACCTGGCCCACGACCCACACACGGTGGTGGGTTGGGTCACAGTGGAACTAAGCATATACAGCTGAAATTTATTAGACTGAGTGGCACCAGAAACGCATAGCAGTATTATGATGCGGAAGTGTAAGAATTGGCATCAACATCATGACTACGATCATGATGAGCATGATGATTCAGACGAGGACTGACCTTCCATGGTTACGAACCTGAAATCGATGATATACTGGATCCTGGATTTGATTGGGACGATGATCGGGATGAGCACCGGAACAATCATTAGGGACAAGACTACTGTTCCGTCCTGCGCGCTGGGTGCGACGACTGTGAGTAGGACGAGGAGCGGCACCTCTGGCCAGATTTATGACAAGCATCACGGTCGATACGATTATGAACAGAATCATGATCACGATTTCGATGATGCGTGAGACACAGCGAGACGACACGATTATGGCTAGTGATCGCCTAAGATTACTCGTCCGAGATCCCAGTCCCACCCGACGAAAGGGGGTGGTCACTCTACCCCGGGGCTATCAGCTGCGCACGAGCAGACACCATTCTCGATGCCCCCCATCCTGCATTGTACCTCCTACCCAGCACGGCCAGAGGTAGGTGGCCCAGGACAGCGGCCGGACGGCCTTCGACATCCGACCTCGCTCAAGCTAGCCAACGGACGGCCAATGCCATGGCTGTGGGTCCCTCTCGGAGGGTCAGTCGCCCAGACTGCAAGGACAGAGTTATGTTGCTCCCATCGCACTCAAAGACCACATCCCAGGAATAAGTTCGAGCACCCAGAACAGTGTCGAGAGAGTGCCGAAAGAGTGTCGAAGCAGTGTCCGACGAGTGTCTCCCGGGGCCAGACACGCGAAACCTCCGAGTTTCGGTGCTTGTTTCTGGTGCTCGAGGTTCTTCCTGGTGGTCAGGGCTAAAGTAGGTTGGAACATCATAAGTTAACGGGCGAAGAACGGTATAACATAAACTTTTTCGCTGTCGGGGGCGCCTGTCCCAGGGCGGCTGGAAAGTTTGTACCCCTACGGTGCCACCGTAAGGGTATAAACTTTCCAGCCGCCCAGGGACAGGCGCCCCCGACAGCGAAAAAGTTTATGTTATACCATTCTTCGCTCGCTGAATCAGGACAGAGCGAACATCGACACTCGCACAACCGTGGCGCAGGGCTCCCAAGGCCGCGTGCTCAGTCTGGCGGGCGCGCCGATCGTGCCGCGAGTGGTCAGATGCAGCGCTCCGCCCGCCGCCCGTGCCCGCCCGCCCCGTCGGCGCGCGGGGCGCACGGCGAGCAGCCGTCGGCAGCCACACCTCAGCGAGCGAAGAACGGTATACATAAACTTTTTCGCTGTCGGGGGCGCCTGTCCCTGGGCGGCTGGAACGTTTATACCCCTACGGTGGCACCGTAGGGGTATAAACTTTCCAGCCGCCCTGGGACAGGCGCCCCCGACAGCGAAAAAGCTTATTTTATACCGTTCTTCGCCCGTTAAACACCCAACTGTGAGTCACATCGGCGTGCTGGCAGCACCGAGCAGCATCGACTCGAGAACTGCTCTGAAGTCGGGCCTGTCCCTCTACAGGAGGAACACTCAAACATAGTCAAAGAATAGGCTGGGGACGACTTTTTGAACATTCTTGCCTATTTGGAGTATGTGTTGAATATTTTTCATTTTTCGTCCAAAATCCCCCTGTCGGGGGACAGGCCCGACGCGCTGGATCGGGCGACATCGGCACGGACCGGCATCGAATCGGATCGGCTGCATCTGGGCAGCTGCGCAGCAGCGCCATGCAAGCGCCGTGAGAACCTCGAGATCGGATCGGATCGGCCCGGCCGCAATCGATATCAGTATCGAACCAGATCGATCGCCTCGACAGGGACCCTGTCAGTAGGAGGAGGGTCAGTTGAGATATCGGCGGCTCCCCCTAGAAGGAGCAAAAAACGCCAAAGAATAAACGGTTGGCGGCACGCGCGGCTTTCTTGCGCCAGGGGCGGCGCCGGAGGCGCCGCCAGGGGGGGGGCCCAGCGCGGATCCAAGAAATCCGCGCGGAGCGCCAACAGTTTATCTTTATGGCGTTGTGATGGGGGAAAACAAACCTACCTCGCTTTTGACCACCCTCGCTTCCAAGAGATACCAAGCGATGCCAAACTACGGCCTGTACAGTTCAGGCCGCTTGACGAGGAGGCGCGTGGTATGACTTGGTTTCGCCTGGAAACGAAAGCGGGGTAGGTAATTCGCGCTCTGATTTATGGCGTTTTGAATGTCCGGCCCTCCTCCCTCCCCTCCCTCCTCTTGCTCCCTCGGCTGACGCGCTGCCGGCCAGCCCCCGCTGGCCCGCGCACGCTGGCCTGCACGTCGTGGCAGGCGTCGGGGAGGCACGCCACGACGCTCAGGTTCCTGCGGCGCTGGCACGCGGCACCCCCCGCGGCGCGCAGGGCCACCTCTGGGGGCGAGCCTTAGGTCGGGCGTGTCCTCCTACGGGCGGGCTTCGGAAGAAAACACTAAAAACAGCAAAACATCATTCCAAAGTAGCCAAAACTGGTCGAACCAATCGTCCCCTGACTGTGTTTCGGCTATCTTCTGAACGCTCCTCCTGTAGAGGGACACGCCCGACGTGAGGCGAGCCCCCTGGGACGCACGGCAGGCTGGTGCAGTGACGACCGTCGGCGCCAGCCTCTGGCACCGCGCGGGCCCCGCGGCCTGCCGACGCGTCGCTGCGCTTCCTGGCCCGCGGCGACGCTTGAGCAGCCCCGCCGGGCCCGCGGCCCTGGCGAAGGGGGCCGCGGCAGACCCACCCTGGGAGTGTTCGGTGGGGCTCCCGCCCGTCCTGTCGTGCGCGGCGATGCCGTCTCGCAGCCCGACGCGGGCGTGTGGCGCGGATTCGACGCGGATGCGGCACGGAGTCGCCGCTCAGCGGAGCCACGAATCGGCAGCGCTCGCGACCCCTGGGGATTGACGAGCTGACGAGCGGCTGGCTCATTTCCAGCGCGGTAACCCCGCCCACCGCTGTCACAGAAGTCCCTGCCGCCTAAAACTGCTGGTTCGTACAACGCCGTACTCTTCGCGTCAACTCCAAACTCAGGAAAATTCGTCGACTGACGGGCAGGGATTGACAGATTGACGAGCGGTAGTTGATCCGAAGATCGTACGCGAGATCGCACGCGATCGTTCCCAGCAGGTCCTGATGCATAAAACGACAAACGCGCCCCTGGGGAAGAGGGGGGCTCTGAAAAACTATCCCTCTCCTAGACCTCAGGGGAACACTGGCTGTTCATACGGCAAGAGACTTGACGAACTCCACAATACGGGCGCCCGGGCGAAACCGAGGTGTGGGGAACCATCGGAAAAGCCCATCGGGCGCGTCGTCTGTGAAAATTGGGGATACCAGGAAGTACCAATACCGCTACTTCCCGAGATCTCTCCACGGGTGCGTTCTGGCCAGAATTCGAAAGCGAATCCAGCGGTGGCGACGAAGGCCTCCCAGGAAGCCCAACCAAAAATGAATACGCGGGAAGGGTAGCGGTATGGGTACTTTTCTTCCCCTGACCATCGGCAGTGAGGAGGGAGGAGGGAGGAGGGAGGAGGACGAGGAGGAGGAGGAGGCAAGAAAAGGCAAGGCAAAGCAACTATTGGGTGCTATCAGATGCGACGACTAGCTTAAACTATAAAACAAGTAGCACCTGAGTGACATCAATGACGCAGCTTCCCACAGCGGTTGGCGCTGCAGGTGCAACTCGACCCGGCCTGAAACTGGGATGTGCCACTAAGGGGGGCGACGGCACCGCCATACTCTCGCAGTTAACCCCCGCTGGCACACGGCGTGGGACGTTTCTTGACACGCTGCTTTCGAACCCCGGGCGCGACATGGACCCTCTCGGCTCTTGAGACACCCCTGATTCGTTTTGTTAACCATCTTGGCGAAGGACCCAAACATATGCAATTGTGGGTACCGCAACTGTGAATACCTTTTTCGGTGAAACTCCCTATGGGGCCACGATACGCTGCACTGGGTGGGGGGAACGCAAGCGAGCGGTAGCACTCGGGCCGTCGGTGGAGCTCCTTGTGGGGCCACGAAGCGCTGCACTGGGTGGGGGGACGCATGCGGGCGGTAGCACTGGGGCCCTCGGTGGAGCTCCCTATGGGGCCACGAGACGCTATACTAGGTGGGGGGGACGCATGCGGGTGGTAGCACTCGGGCCGTCGGTTGAGCTCCCTATTGGGTTACAAATCGTTGCGCTGGGTGGGGGGGGGGGGGACGCATGCGGGCGGTAGCACTGGGGTTTTCGGTGGAACCCCCTACGGGGCCATGAAACGCCGCACGGGTGGGGGGACGCATGCGGGTGGTAGCACTCGGGCCGTCAGCGGAGCTCCCTATTAGGTCACGAATCGTTGCGCTGGGTGGAGGGGACACATGCGGGCGGTAGCACTGGGGCTTCCGGTGGAGCTCCCTATGGGGCCACGAAGCGCCGTACTGTGTGGGTGAAACGCAGGGGGGGGAGGAGGATGGGGAGGAGAGAGAAGAGGGAAGAAGAAAAGGAGGAGAACGCGGGGACCGTCTTAGCAAAACGAAGACCTAACACCACAGGAGGGTTGAAGAAAAATCTCCTGAGACCGGAAAGTCTTGAGGGGTGGAGGAAAAGGGAGCAGCGGCAGCAGCAGAGCTGGAGGACGAGGAACGGTGGGGGAGTTCTCCGCGCTCAAACAAGGCCCTAAAACGGGCCGAAGCTTTACATACGACAGGCACTACAACACTGGCATGATGCTTCCCGCTGGCTCAAATGGGAAACGGCTCAGAGTACCTCGATATCGCTGAGCTGGCGTTTAAGGTCCACCCCCCTCCTGTCTCAAGTCTGCGTTGGGGGGCCACCGTTGCGGTACCTCGATCTCGCTGAGCTGGATCCTCAGGCCCACTCCCCTGCGGACTCAAAACTGCGTTGGGGGTCACCGTTGCGGCACCTCGATCTCGCTGAGCTGGATCCTCAAATCCACTCCCCGCATGAATGGCTCGAAGAGGCTCCTATGCACGATCGCTCCCACTCTCACCGCTCCTGCCACGGTCACTCACAGTCCCTTCGCTCATGCCACGAGTTGCTCCATCATTCACAACCGCTTCGCTCATGCCACAAGCGCATCCAGCATCTTCGCCGCGCTCCTCTCCAGAGACCCCCGCTGGGCTGGCCCATACCTCCGCTGGCCGACCTTGTTGAATGCTCGATCAGGTTCGCCTCCAGGTCGCCGCACCAGTGGTCCACGCCGAAGGTCAAGCGCAGCTTCTCGCCCGTCGACTCCTGCATGCGCGCGGCGCGCACCCGGCAGCGTCGCACATGGTCGGCCAGCTCGATCACCTGCACCCGCATGACCACCTCCCCCCAGCACTTCTCCAGGATCGTCTCCACGTCCGCGTCCGCTTGCGGGCCCATGCCCACTGTCTTGATGAGGGCCGCCCAGACGTGGGCGAACGGCGGCCACAGGGACTCCGCCTCGACGTCCGCCTCCTTTCTCCTCTGGACCCCCTGATGGTAGAAGACTTCCGCCTGCGTCGCCGCCGCGGCAGCGACCTGCTCCACGCCGACCAGGAACGCAACGAACAGCACTCCGCATTCGTCGCGGAGCTCTGCCGCGTTGGACAGGCTCAACTTCGCAAGCATCACGACGAGTCTCTTGAGCAAACCTCCACCCTTGGACTTGGCCTGGTCGGCCAATCGCCTCTGCTTGCCCCCGCGTTCGCTAGCCTCGGCGGGCGCCAAAGGAGCGATCGCCCACGCGGGATTGGCGCCCGTGGCCGCGCCCAGGGAGCGATCGAACATCTCTGAGTGGCCCAGGGAGAAGCTCTCGCACGTGCAACCGGATTTGAACATAATGGCCACCAACTAAGTCACCTAGCGGGCAGTCGATCAGAGCAGGGGGCGCAACCGAACAAAGATGGCGAACAGCAGCAACCGTGCAGAACCCCGTCTTGCGCGAGAGCTGCACATGCCGTCGACACGCCACGCGACTCGAGAACACCGCGCGACACCAGCAGCACCCATTAGATATAGGGAGAAAGTGCCCCAACTCACGGCGCGCATGACGAGCGATGACACGAGCGCAGACTCTCTGGTCAGCTGGCAAATGGGCCCCGCACGCCGTCTCATCAGCACTACGCAAGCAGCACCGGCGCGCGCCGCCCTGGGCAAACAAACGTAGAGGATCATGAGCAGCAGCAGGAGAACCCCTTTCAGGAGGGGGATGTTGCTCCGACAGAAACTGGCTCCGAAGCTGTCGCACATCGATCTGCTCTTCACAAAATCCTCGCTAATCTCTGGGTACGATCAAGGGAGCTCAATTTAGCCTCCGAGAGAGGCCATCAAAGAGCCCCCCTCATCGATCACAGACATCGCCCCATATCCCCCGAAGCTCGCGTAGCCCAGGGATTAGCCGACGTGCCAAGTCAACCTGAGGGGGGGGGTAAGTGGGGGCAGAGGGCAGGGGGCCGAAGAGTGCAGCAAGGACCTGCTTGTGACAGGCGCGATGCCTCAGGAGCTCCTGGAGATACCCAGTCGTCACAATGCGCCAGTATTTTAGCGCAGCCTCATTACTGAGAGAGACATGGTGGGGCGAGCTTTGCCTCGCATCGCTTGTCGGGCATAATGAGCTACCGAAGCCGTAGGCATGGCTACTCCGGCTGGAGATGGCAGGAAAACGTCAGGCCCCGATAGGGCCGTGTTATACATCTCGTTAAGAAGCATGCACCTACGCACCTGAAAGGGTACACCCGAGAGAGACCAGAAGCGATCCGTAGTGCGCCACCCCACGTGCGCGGCTTCCACGCTGGCCTTGCATTCAGAGCTGAATCGAGCCGGGACCAAATTAAGGTGAGCGCCCCCCAGTCCGACAGACTGGGGCGCCATGCTTGGAATCGCGAGCTCGCCAACACGAATCGCCTCAAGGGCTCGCCCCGCGCCTCGAACGAATGCGCCTACGATCGCGCCCTGCCCATCCAGATTGCGCCCGTGCCCCCGCCGCAGCAGCTCGCAGTCGAGGTCAGAGTTAGACCCGACGCTGAGATCGGCCCGACTCTCGAGCGAAGAGAAACGCGATCCGACGAGCGCAGATTTTGCGAGCGACAAGTCCTGCCACCACTCTTGTGATATCGGGCGTCGAACTCGCAGAATGCCGCGACGAGGGCCCCGCCGGGCCCGGCGCTGCTGCCAGGCGTCGACAGCGGGAAGGAGGCGGTGAACAAAAGGATTCGACAGCAAAGGAGCCCCCCATCAGGCCGCCGCAGCTGGGGCGCGGGGCCGCGCCCCGATCCCACCCCCAGACGTCGCGCACGCAAGCCGGCGCTCTCGCGCGCCGCGCCGCGCAGTAGAGCCGAAAGCGCCGGCGTGATCGCGGCAGTTGATCAGGTGCTGGCGCACCGTATTCTCACGCACGCGCCCGTCGATATTCTGATCTAAGAGAGCTCCCTCGCGGCGCCCCCGCGACGCACGGCCGTGATTTTGAACGCTCGCCGCCCCCCCGCCCCCCCCCGCCAGCCGAAACATCGCCCCCCCGCCCGCATCACCCCCGCAGGGTCAAGTAAATGGGCCCACCTGGTTTTCCCCCCCTTTCGCGGGGCAGGCGCACCGCAGCTTCGACGCTGTCGAACTGGGAGGCGCGACGAACGGCAAATCATAACAAAGCCGGCAAAGAGGGCATCACAAAAGGAGACGCGCCTCTAGACGAGCCATCGAGGTGCCGAGCCCAGCTCGTCGCAGGGGTACTCTGCGGCTCGGGCGACGCATCGGCCACCGAAATTCAACGGGCACGGCCCATTCAGGAACCGCTCCACGCTCGCTCGCTCCCCAGAGGCCCCCGCGAAAACAAGCGTAGTCAGCCGCGGCCGCGACCCTGCGCGACGAGGCAAGCGGCGGCAGCGGCGGGCGAAAGGAGAGGCACTCACTGCGCCAGAGCTCCCAGTCGTTAATCTCAGCCGCGCCCACGCCCCCCTCGGGGCCTGGCTTCGCGAACTGCTCGATCAGCTGATCGGCCGAGTCGACGACGCCCCGCGCCGACAAGCAGCCCCGCTATTTGGTCCCAAGCGCAAGCCGGCAGCCCGCCAGAAGAGGCGGGGGGGCTCGGCGACGCGACTCCTCCGCCGCAGCTCGCGCGCCTCGCCCGCCAGCTCAGTCCGCCGCCGGCGGACCTCCGCGGCCAAGTAGGTGCGATTCGCCTCGGCGGCCTCCTTGAGAGCCAGGGCCACCTCCGCCCCCCGCTCCGCCGCGTGCGCCTCTGCCAGAGAGGGTCGGAGATCACGACGAGGAGCGAGTCGCCGAAGTCGTTCTTCAGGAATCGGGGTGCACACTCGGCCAGCATCATCTCCGAAATGTGATTTGCCCATTTCTCGAAGGACGCCGTTGGAATCCGCCGATCTGGCGCGCGAGCTACAAGGGGCCTCAGCAAGAGCTTCAGCTCTGAGCCTAAGCAAGAGCTTCAGCTCTGCTTGGGGGGGGGTCGCCGGGGTGGCTCCGCCGGGGAAAAGGGGGCGGGGGCGGGCGGTCCTCCATCTGGCGTTTTCTTATGGTTTGCGCACCCCCAAAATGTTCCAGGGGGGTACCAGGGGCCCCTCCCCAGGACTCCCATCTCGGAACCCTCCCCGGACTCCCCCCGGGGAAGGGGGGAGTGGGGGGGGCCCGGGGGGGGGGGCAGACCTCGTCTGGTGTTTTAGCAATGATTTGCATATCCCCAACATGTTTCGGGAGGCCCCAGGGCCCCCGTTGATATCTAGCCGCCACTGCCCCCGCGACCCCCCCCCCTCGGAACCCTCTCCGGACCCCCCCGGGGCTGCTCCAGGCGCCCCCTCAGAGGGCACGTCAGCTCCAAAAAGCGTCCCAGCGTCCCCGACGACTCCAAGATCGCCGAGTCTGGAGCCTGCCAGATCGGCGGCACTGGCCAGAGGCCATTACAATAGTCGAAGATGCCGTCAGCGGCGGCCCGCTGCAGAAGCTCCTCGACACGCCTCTCATCCGCGCGGAGACGCCCCTCCACCGCAGCCACCAAGGCGCGGCGACCCAGCCCGCCTCGCAAGCATCGCGCGAGCCTGTCAATGTCCCAACGCACCCGCTGATCGTGACGGGCTGGGCGCCGCGCAGGCTCCAATAAATACGTAAGGAAATACAGCATGCACTAGAAGATGGTCTCGAATGGCCTTCGCGCGAATCAGATGGAGCTGACGACTGACGGCTGACGCAGTGGGCCAACGCTCCGCAAGACTCGAACCAGCGCCCCGGGAAGGGCAATCATGTCAACGCAGCTGCTCGCACCGGGGTTCCCCAAGAAGGCGCGAGCAAAGCCAACGTGCACGTTCGCAATGTGCACGCCATGGGCGGCGAGATACTCGGCGAAGGGTGGCCCCGCAAGGTAGCCCCGCGTGGCCGACTGCTCGGGAACGACGTCGCGACCATCGAAGATCCACAGTCCATCCACTCGCTCCAAGCCGGCGCCGTCGTTGAGGTAGGCCCAGACAACGGGTGTCCTCCGCTGAGGGACCTTCGCAAGCTGCTCTGCAAGCCAAGCCATAAGCAGCTGTGCGCTCGGAGTGCCCCCTGGTGCGGGGCTGTCGGGGAAAGTAGCGCGCAGTCAGTGACACGTCGAAGATGCCACAGCGACCACGGCAGCGCAGCCCTCGACCCTGCAGTGGAGCAGGAGCATCCTCACAGCGGTCAACGTGCTCAGGTCTGACGCGCCGCCCCTACAGCAGGACAAATCCGCATGATGAGTTCGTGAACGGCGACACCTCCCATCCAGCCTCGTGCAAGGTACGAGCCCCAATACATCGTCGCCGAATGGTCGTGCCCAGCGTAGCTCTAAAGCCAGCACGTCGCAGTTATGAGTGGCTGCAGAAGTATCGCCAAGTCTGGCCAAAGTGTTCGCAGCCAGCGGGTTGCAGGTCCCGACCACGACAGGAAACTGCAGCGCGGCGGCCAACCACCAACCGACATTCAGCACGGGCGTGTGCCGATGAAGGACGGGCCTGCTATGGAGTGCCAAGGTTCAGTCAGCTTGCATCGCATCTGGGCTGAAATGGCTGAGGAGGAGGAGGAGAAGGAGGAGGAGAAAGTGTGGCTGTTGCGGCGCCCTACCTCTGACGGCACTAGGCCTGCTCACAGCGGGGAGGCTGCGGACAACGCAGACCAATCTCGCCGCCCCGCTGCAGGCCCCCCTTCCGCGCAGACCGCACTGCCACGATGCAGAGAACCTCTGCAAACCCACACGCTGGAGGAGGAAGATAATATTTGTTAGTTTGCAGAGCTGCCACAGACGTGTCTCAAGACGTGCGATATACACATACAGCATGTCACATGCGTGCCAAACCTATACACTTGCCCACTGTGGTTCGAGCGCTACACTCTGCCGAAAGTTGCGCATCGCCATTCCTCTAGCCAATCCGCTGGCCCCCTTTGCGGGGCCACCAGGCTTCGCGGATGAGGCCTGCTGCTCCCTGCTCCAGTTCCAATATCAAGGCTCCGATGCTACAATTCTTTGATCTGCTTTCTACTGTCAGTTCTGTTGAAGCCCGTGCGATGGGGGGAGTAGAAAAGGGCCCTGATTACCTTCACCTGTGGGGGTTATGATAATTTGTTGCGGGCCCTGGGACATTTAGAAAAACATCAGATTCGCGCCACCGAAGCCATGATGCCTCATCAATTACACCTCATTCTCGCCCCCGAGGACATAATCCTTTTTGGAAGTCATACGATATTCGCGCCCCCAAGGCCACAAACCCAGGCACAGTCTACGCTGGATTCGCGCTCCCGAGACCATGATCTTTTGTAAACTAAACGATATTCGCGTCACCGAGGCAATGAATTCTCTCTCGTAATATACGCGATAACTCTGCCCCCCGAAGCAGCGATCCCTTGTACATTACAGTTCTTCGCGTCCCCAGAGTCATACACCCTTGAACAAAAAATGTTCGCACTTTCGAGGCCACAATCCTTAACAAAAGGCCCCCACGACGGTACAAGAGGCCTCCGAGACGGCCCAAGAGTGCTCCAAGGCGCCCAAGATGGTCCCAAGACAGCTCAAGGGGCTCCCAAGAGGCCCACGAAAGGGCTCTAAGAGTACCCCCAAGTGGGGCCCAAGAAGCCAACATCTGTGATGATCTCTAGGTTTTTGATGGAGCTTGGCACGCTCGCCTTTTCGAAGCCCTGGCGGCAGGGTGCGAAGCCCATACGGACTGAGACGAAGCCAGGACGAGGATCAAATCAGGTGAAGACGGGAATCTCTGAGATCCAGCGGCTCTGAGGATCGAATCAGGTGAGGACGGGAATCGCTGAGAACGTTCCGGAATCTCAAGCAAATCCCAGCAAGGCCGTCCACACAACTGGAAACCGACCGAACCGACGGAACCGATAAAGAAACCGACGGGCCGCAAGCAGACGAGAAGGGCGCAGCGGCTCGGCGACGACACGACAGCCGACCGGACCGAGCCAACCGAGCGCAACCGATTACGGTGCCGCCGAACAGATCGAACCGCAGAAACCCTTGGTGATCCTCGTCGATCGTCTGGCCTTCGGGTCATCACTCGGGTCTCCGTCGGCAATCCTGGGGAAACCAAAAGGTACCGATACGGGACCTCTCCTGGGG